AACTTCCTCCTCATCTAGAACACTTTTACCCCCACTTCCTCCTCATCCAGAACACTTTTACCCTAACTTCCTCCTCATCTAGAACAGTTTTATCCTCTTTCCTCTACACCATGGTAACTTCTCAGATATCTTCCCTCCTCCTTTGGTTTTTTGAGACAAGGTTTTTCTGTGTAGCCTTGGTTGTCCTGGACTCAATTTGTAGACCAGGTTGGCCTCAAACTCCTAGCTATCCACCTGCCTTGGGCTTTCTGAGTGTTGGGATTAAAAGTGGGTGCCACAGTGCCTGGCCTCAGGCATCAATTTAAACTTCACTGTTTTCAGTGTGTTCTCCAGATCTCTTCAGCTCTTTGCTGAGCAATGCATCCCTCAGCGTCCCATCAGGTCATCTATCTGTGAGCAGGTGAAGAAGCCCAATAGGCCATTCCAACATTTATTCAGCTGGCAGATGGTGGGCCCCATCAGCTTCCTCATCCAGGGTCCTGACCTCTGGAGTTGTTGGTGCTGGGCTCAGCTGCCCATTCCCATGGCCCTCCCACTGGGCTCAGCTGCCCAGTCCCATGGCCCTCCCACTAGGCTCACCTGCCCCAGTCCATGGCCCTCCCACTGTGCTCACCCGTCTTAGTCCATGCCCACTGTGCTCACCCGTCTTAGTCCATGCTCCTCCCACTGTGCTCAGCTGCCCAGTCCCACGCCCCTCCCACTGTGCTCACCGGCTTCAGGACTCTTCTGATCTCCTGCAGGACCTTTTTTGGGCTCTGCACAGAGCACAGCACCAGCGTGCTGACCACCACATCCATGGAGCTGTCAGCCAGTTCTCTCATGTCTTCTCCATAAGCCACAACGAAGCTCTCATATTCGAGGTGCCTATTCTCAGCCATGCTCTTTGTCAGGAACTTCTCAAAGTTGGGGTTTGGGTCCACGCAGGTGACTTTGCAGCCAGGTGGGTAGAACTGGAAGTTGGCACCAGTGCCGCAGCCAAGCTCCAACAGGGCCACTTTCCTGGAAGTTACCTTAAGATCTTTTATCTGGCTAAATAAGTCCCGTTTCTTGCCTTCTATCTTTTTGTTGGTCAAGGCTGTCAACCTGGCCATTAGGTAGGGGAAGTAGGCTTTGCACAGGGGCTGCCAGCAGCCCAGCAGATCCAGAAGATGCAGGGGGAGGGCCAGGAGCAGCAGCAGCAGCAGCAGACATGGGGCTAGGGCATCCATAGTACCAGCTCCGGGTGGTGTGTCTCCAGGAACACTGGCTGTTTGCTTCTGCCCAGGCTGGCAGATATAAGTCTCCCCTCCTCCAGGGATGGGACTTTGCTCCTTGCCTCCTGCCTGGTAATTCTCTTTACTGAGCATGAGCATGGCACTGCTCCAGAAGCATGACCTACCCAGCCTCACAGGTTGTTCATCGAGTTTTCTGTCGGTGAAGGATCACAGCCGTGTGGATGATACTGTGTTGCATAACTAGCAGATGAATGTGGTTGAATATGCCAGCCTGCCCCAGAGACGACTGGGAGGAAGCCAGGGGCTGGGAGCGAAGCTGACTCACTGTCCTCAGGCCTGACAGGTTGTGCAGGATAGAGATTCTGGTGTGCTTTATAATCAGCAGGATGCCTTTGTCCTAAATGGTGGTCAAATAGAATGCACAGGGCTAGGCCTGACTGGTCATGAGAAGGAGAAAGTTCGTGGTCAGAAGAAAGGCTCTGGGACTGGAAACCTGCCTCAGTGTTGGCCTTCTGTGCTCGAGTCCTGAACTGAAAGAGGGCACTTAAAAAAAGTTTAACTATTATATTAAACCTTATGAGAGTGTGCGTGCATGCTCGTGAGTGTGTGTGCTATGGTGCCGTTGTGGAGGTCAGATGACAACCTGTGGGAGTTGGCTCTATCCTTCTACCACATGAGTACCAGGCGGTGTGCTTAGGTCGTCAGGCTCGGCAGCAAACGCCTTTGCCTGTTGATTCATCTCAACAGACTTTGATTGTCTTTTTAGTGTTATGAGTGTGTGTGTGTGTGTGTGTGTGTGTGTACGTGTACCAAGGTGAACACGTGGAGGTCAGAGGATAACTCTGTGGAGTTGGTTGTTTTCTGGCACCTTGACAGAGGTTCTGGGTGTCCTTAGACTTGCACAGAAAGCACTTTTGCTAGTTGAACCATATCACTGGCTCCAAGAAAACACTCTTTGAGCTGACTGCTCCTATCAGATTCAAGGCCTCAAGGCCCCAGAAATTGAAGGAAAAAGAGGAGCCAAGGAAGGAAAGAAAAAAGAAAGGCAGGCAGGGAGCAGAAGGGTCTGGAGACCTGAGAGTTAGTCCCGGTTTCGCTATGAGCTCTATGATCTGTTGGACTCAACTCCTCATGTATCCATGAGGGGAAGAAGAGGCTTGCGGTCCCTTCATGGCTCCCAGTGCCTTGCCCTGCCCCCGTGTTTGCCTGATCTAGGGAGAGTTGGGTAAGAAGCAGGAAGCTGCCTTAGGAACCTGATGACAACTCAGTACAGTGATGCTGCAGGACCGGGTCAGGACTGACACAGACCCTAGGTGGTCAAGCTCTGCTTTCTTCTTTTCTCTTTTGCCTGAGCTCTTTTGCTCCCAGGAGCAACTCATGGACAGCCTTGAGGGCTGCACAGCAATGGCACAGTGGCCTCTTTCCTTCTTTCCTTCTTCTTGATTTTTCTCCCTCCCTTCTCTTTCTTTCTTTCTTTCTTTCTTTCTTTCTTTCTTTCTTTCTTTCTTTCTCTCTCTCTCTCTTTCTTTCTTTCTTTCTTTTTCTCCTTCCTTCCTTCCTTCCTTCCTTCCTTCCTTCCTTCCTTCCTTCCTTCCTTCCTTCCTTCCTTCCTTCCGGGCTCAAGGGGCAAAGTGTTCACTTTTACAGAACCCCAGAAACCAGGTGGCACACTCTTTGCATCCCAATAGTGATGAGAAGTAGAGGGAAGTGGAGACAGGAGGATCAGGAGTTCAAAGTCAGCCCTGGCCATGTAGTGACTTCCAGCCACTAGGCTACATAAGACCCTGTCACACACACACACACACACACACACACACACACACACACACTGACACATACACACACACTCTCTCACACACTGACACATACACACAGGTGCTCAATGAATATTAGATATTTTGCAAGTATATTCTTATTTTGCCATTTTAAAATTTCTTTTTATTATGTGTATCTTTCACTGAAAATAGATTCTTTCATGCAGTACATCTTGACCAGTTTCCCCTCCCTCACTCCTTCCTAACCCACTCCTTTTCTCTTTCCTGGGTCCCTTCTGTCTCTCACCAAAAAGAAGCAGGCCTCCAAGAGACAACAACCAAATACCACAAAACAGAATACAAGAAGAGAATGCAGGAGCCTTCACACTGGAGCTGGAAATTCAACCCCAAAGGAGGGAAAGAATCGTAAGAGTAGACAAAAGAGTCAGAGACACGCCTGCTCCCAAGGTTAGGAGTCCCGCAGGAACACCGGCTAGTAGCCATAGCATGTACACGGAGAACCTGGAGGAGATCCATGCAGGCCTCATTTCTCTCGGTGGACGTCCTGGAGCTTGCTCTGCAGACGAGGCTGGTCTGGAAGTCAGAGATTCTCCTGCTTCTGTCTCCTGAGTGCTTAGGTTAAAGTTATGTGCCAGCATGTCCAGCTTTATCATATTTTTGTTATTGATTAAAAAAGTCTCGTTTGTTTCATATAACTGCTGCCTCATTTGTCATTTGAGTTTGGTAGACCTGTTTTTAGGTAGTCAGCTTACTAAATTCTCTCTCTCTCTGATTCAGGGTTTCTCTGTGTAGCCCTGGCTGCCCTGGAACTCCCTCTGTAAACCAGGCTGGCATTGACCTCAGAGATTCATTTGCCCCTGCCTCCTGAGTACTGGAATTAAAGGTGTGCACCACCAGGTTGGGCTACACAGACTATTTTAAAAGATAATCTTACAATAACAGCAAAAATCAAGAGAAAAAAAATTCCTGTTTAGGTCTGCCCCATGTCTCCACGGCCATAGCATGCCTGGAACACAGCTTCATAACAGCATCTGAAACTCCATGTCAGTTTGCCTGCATATCTCCTTCTTTTCCTCAAGCGTCGCTTTTTGTTGCATTTTTAAAATTAAAAAAAAAAATTGTGTGTGTGTGTGCATGTGTGTGTGTGTGTGTGTGTGTGTGTGTGTGTGTGTATGTATGTGCACGTGTGTGTGCGCGTGCACACGTGCCAGGGTGCAGATGTGGAAGTTAAAGAACAACTTGTAAGGGTCAGTTCCTTTCCACGTGGTTCTTCATGTCCGATACAGGTTGTCACTGGCTGGAACCTTTATTGGCTGAGTCATCCCGCCAGCCCTCTTTCTTTTTCTGGAGGATGTGTAATTAAACCTCAGATACAGTATTGGTCTGAGGGTGCAGCTCAGCTGTTGAGTACTTGCTTAGAATGCCCAAAACCTGTGTTTCAGTCCCAGACCGACATACACTGTGTACAGCATAGCACGTGCCAAGAGCCCACTACTCAGGAAGTGGAGGCAGGGCTCCTTTTCAAATTTTCTTTTCCCTTCGGTTCTACATGTGTGAGCTATCCCTAAGCCCTGACAGCTCTGCTTCTTGGTTTGGCAGTGCCGCGCCCTTCTTTGATCACCATCAGTACCAGCTTAGTAGAGCACGACCCTCTCCCTTGGCGGCCTGCTGTAGTTGCCTGGTGATAGACCTCTACTTGCACCTCTCTTCTGTCCGTTGTCTGGTGGACCCTATGGTACTGAACCGAAAGCCTGAGTCCTCGCTGCTGCTCATAAAGCTGTGCACATGGTGGCCTCTGCCCGTGTCTCCTGCTATCTCCCCTCACTGTCCAGATGCAAACAACCCTCAGTCCCTCATACCCTCACTCCTTTAAACTTCAGAGTTCAAATAAAGTCTAGCCAGGACTAGGCAGGCTAGGATTGGCAGGAGGTGGGCCCCCTGGCTGAAATGGTAGCAGGGGCTGGTCAGAGAGCACAGGTCAGGCCAGCAATTTCATAAGGTGTGGACTGGAGCTGAGCCCTCAGCTTGGAGGGTCAGGGGTCAATGTGCGTCAGGAATGAGGTGAGGCCTAGGAACAGGAGAAAAGTCAGGGTCTGTAAACAGCTAGAGCAAATATCATTCTTGTAATCCAAGGCAATACTTGAGCAGTTTAAACGGGTGGATGTTAAATGCCTTGCATTAGATTTTTAGGCTTGTTCTGGTCATGAGGGTGCCCACAGCGGGCATGGGTAAGGGTGACTGAGGAGCTTTTGGCCCTCAGCACCCTGTGCATTTCTCGCGTTAAATACATTTGTGTGTGCAGTGTGTGTGACTCCTGCCTGCGGCTCTTTCGAGTTCTAAGATGATGTTTTATTATTCCCGGCAAAAACAGTTGAAGTCACTAGATATGAGTTACAACAGGAGGTACCACACGCGTTATAACCCCATTTTCCCTCCTGTCAGAGAGACAGAAACAGTGTGGGTCGGAGTTTGGCGTTTGCACCTGTGCCTGGCGGCCTCTGGGAGACTCACAGTACCTCACCAAGCAGCTCAACCTTGGGTCCGCGACACTAGGGTTGCTGTCCTGCAAGGAATACAGATACTAACATTAGGAATGATACAGGATTTCTAGAGCTGGTGCAATCTTTAATCACAGCACTCAGGAGGCAAAGGCAGGTGGATCTCTGAGTTTGAGGCCAGCCTGGTCTACAGAGTGAGATCAAGGATAGCCAAGGCTACACTGAGAAACCCTGTATCAAGAAACAAAATCAAAAATAAGAAAGAAAATGACACATGATTTTTTAATACAAAACTAAGCTTTATTGATTTGGGTTAAAAATTAATCCATTATGACGAAATGTTTGCTTCCTAAGTGGCTTGGCTGCAACACACATCTGTCTTCGTCAAATGTGGAACTGGGTGTAGCTCCTCCCCACTGAGGACCTGATAAAATCTGGACAGAGAAAGTTATGGTAGGATTTGGTTAAAATCTGGAGCTTGAGAGAAAGAAAATGTCTATATGGAGCCCTTTTCTTTAAAAAACTCAGATGTACAAGGGTTCTTTTGCTTGTGTGATGCAGAGAATAAGTTATATAGAGAAGGCCCCAACTTGTAGTCTCATTTTGGAGTGCTGTGTAATTGGTCCCTGGGCCAGACAAGAAAAGGGCAGCTGTGGGGTAACTTGTTCCCATCCTGGCACAGGGGCAGGACCCCAACAAGGCTGTGCGAGACAGGGTTGGGCAGGGCACCCTTTCCCACTGAGCCATTCAGCTGGAACTATCCTGGCAGGGAGGAACGAAGCTAGTTT